GATGAACAAATGTTTGCTGAAGCCTGCGGCTTGCCAGGTGCTGGGCTTGGCTCTGGGCTGCCCAGGAGGCCGCCTGGCTGGCCGAGTGCTCAGGGCCTCTGGGGCCTGGGCCTGTGGGGGTGGGTGCGGCCCTTCCTGGGGTGTCTGGGATGGGACCCAGTCACAGAGGACGGGCGTCACGGTCAGGAGGCAAGAGCACCCCAGAGACACGGAACCGAGCGAGCTGATGCAGAAACAATCGGCAGTGAAGAGGATTTTGCTGATTCCACGGGACACGTGACAGTCACGCTGCCCCTACACTGCCGGCCACTGCGAGCCCGAGACCCACACCCCGCTCACGTGACCTAACTAGCGTGACGTGGACACGGGCAGGAGCCGGGGTGGTGGAACGGCCCGTGGCCTTGCTGGCCGCAGGTGGGCGCTGCCAACCTTCACTGTGAAGCCCACAGCGCCTGGAGCGTGAAGCAGGGGTGCCGGGGCTCATCCCCTGGGGCCCCTGCACCCCGCTAGCCGTCTCCCGCTGGGCCTTTGTGACATGCCCTGGACGGAGTCCTGAGGTCCTCCGGGCCGGCCCCTCCCTCCCACCGCTCCTCTCTCTGGGCTAGCGAGGGCCCGAGCGCCTGGTGTAGCTCTCCGGGTGGAAAGCGTGGCAGGAGCTGCACCATGCCGTAAACATGACCAGACTCAGGAGCAGCGGGCCCGGCGCCTCCAGACCCGGTTCCTGAGGCAGGCGCCTGTGCGTGTGCTCCTGCGTGACACGGTGCACATCTCTCTCCCAGGCCTGGGTCTGTGCTGGACTTCGAGTCCCCTTCGCCTGCCGCTCAGGACCCCGGCGGCTGCGGGAGGCCAGGCGACCCTCGGGGCCCCAAGCGTCAGCTCAGGGGAGGCCGCCAGGCTGCAGAGGTCGTGAAGGGAGCCAGGGCCTGGGCACTATCTGGACAGCAGAGTGATAAATCGTCAAGAGCTCAGTGTGTGACGACTTCGTTTCGCTTCTGACTTGGCAACGCTTGAGCGGAACAGGGCCAGCGGGGTCAGGTGACAGCAGACCGCAGGGGCCAGGCCCAGGAGTGTGCCGGGCGGCACGCACGCCTGCAGCCGCCTCCACCCTGCATCACGTCGCGGACCTGATATTTCATCAGGAGGCCGCTGGGTCGCCCACCTGTCCGCCTGTCCATCTGTCTGCTCCCTCCACACACAGCACACGTGTTATGAGCCCAAACAAGTGAGACTTGTCTCTTTAAATACACACACACACATTTTTTTGAATAATAGTTTATTTTTACATAATTTGTGCCTGTTTCCATCTCAGTTGTCATCCCCCTGGGCTTCCCATCACCAAATCACCCTGTGCCATCACCAAAGTCCAGTGCATTTCCCTCCCCCCACTGTTTTTGATCCCATTCCCCACTCTACCCCCATAAAATGTCTCTGGTCTATAACTGCTCATTATTATTATTATTTTCTCGCCTGGTCCGTTCTACTCCTAAGGTACAGGGTTTTCACTGACATTTTTCCACTTCTTGGAGAATATACTTCTGAGACTTGGCGTGCCCAGATTCTGGCCTCCCCTCCATGGTGGCGAATGTGGATTTTAACCACTCCCACACTAAGGGCCAGAATGGCCCCCACACCAAGACTTAGAGGAGCTGGGGGGGGGGCGGGGTCTTCTGAATTAGAAAACTGGGTGATTTGGAGTTTCAGGCTTGGGGTGTTGGGAACTCAGGAGTCTTCTGACAGATGGGCAGGTGGACTGTGAAAGATGTGTCTTCAGGGTACAGTAAAAAGCAGATGGGGGGGGCCCTCCCTGGTGGCGCAGCGGGTTAAAGCACAGCACTGAGAATCTAAAACCGCTTCCGCATGAGTTCGATCCCCGCCTGCCCCGGAGGTGACCACATGGCATGGCAGACCTCTCCTGACCAGCCCGCTGCTCCCCTCAGCAGTGTGCTTCGTCAGTCGGCCTGTTCTGCTCCTCACTCTGTCTCTGGTGAAGCCTCTCACCGCACCTGTGCCTTTGGCCTGTACCCCAGTTCTGCATGCAC